TGATGATCAGTAGAGAGACCTTTTTCCTAGTGGTGGCAGGTTTCAGAGAGACCTGACCAGGGGAGTAGCTGTCTACAGGCACCTGACCAGACTGCAAGGGACCCCGACAGCTCACTTCGACCAGTTCAAATCCAGCTTCAGGTACGCACTGTGGAAAGTAAAGGAACCTGCTCATAAACAGACACTCAGACCCCACAGTTGGGGACTGTATTAAAATGGGATTAAGTGAAATGTACTGGTATTACAGGAAGACAGAAGAGGATGACAGGAAAGAAATGGCAGACCACATATGGTAGAGAAGGTTTTGGCATAGACCTTTTCAGGGGCAGACCCTCTGAGGACAGTAGGTGCAGGCATGGGTATGGAGATGGGTGCACAGATACATGGTGCAAACTGTAAAATGGCTTTTTAATGGTTTAAATGTCAAAGTGTGCTTTGATCTACCAAGTGAATCACAAGGGCTGCTTGGTGGAGTGTTGGCAGTAAAGTTACATATTTATTTATATAGAAATAATTATTTTGAAAAAAAAAAAAGTTTCTCTTGGGGGGAATTCATATAGTCCCCATTATTAGGGTTTAAGGGGGTGCACAGACTGAACTCACACACCAACAGCATCCCTGTTGTGTGGGGCAACCGTGGCTGCTTCAGTGGAGTACTTTCCACGTACAGCTCTGCCCAGCCAGAGAGACCCATTCATTTGCCTTGTGACTCAGCTGAGTGTCCTCAGGGAAGCAGAGCTGCAAACAGACACCCTGAGTTCAATTAAACCTCCATTCACATTAGCTCAGAGCTCAGCAAGAGGCAGCAACGCACATCTGAGGCTGCAATTCCAGCTGCCAGGACCTTGGAACATTCCTCTGAACTGCGTCCTGTTTGGAGGAGGTGACAGCCCCTTTACGCAAGTCAGAGCTGCCTGGGGCCATGTGACTTTGCCTGGCTGCAGTCTGAGAGGGGTCGGGCTTATTCACTCGAGTGAAATAAGACTTCTGGTGGGTTTATTTTTTTAGTTTTCCTGCTGGCACAAATCAGCTAAAGTGACAAAGTAGCATCTTAGTCAGGGGGGGAAGGAACTGGGAATATAAAGCCTTGCAAGACTACAGTACCAACAGCCCTTTTTCTATAGCTTTTTCCGCAGCCTTCCCACGCTGTGCAGCTCTAGAAGGCAGCAAGTGCCAGAACTGAAAGGGGGCTGTTGGAGCTCTTGGCCCTAAAGCCCTACCCTCAGGGAAGAAGAAAGAGCAATCACCCACTTCTTGTCATACGGCCAAGTGGGACAACCCACCTAGATGGCAACAAACATTTGCACCATGTCAGTCTTCCACGTGGAGCTTTAGGAAGTTCAGACAATCCCAGCAGCATAGGAGAGAAAACCCAGGCAACAGACAAAGTATCCCTCATGACAGCAGCAAGAGGCACATGGACCCCTGGGACAGTGGCATAAAAGTCTGTGTCATTCTCCTCTGCAAACAGCATGGCCTATGGGGCTAGAAAAGTCAGACAGGTGATGCATTGTGGGGCAGTCAGTATCAGCTTTACATGAAAACGGTGAGCTTCATGAAATCAGGGGTAAGGGATGGGAAGGAAAGGCCCACACATTTTGAGTGTGTGACTAGACTAGGGGGCTTCTTAAGGCATCATCTTGTGACTAGGGCCCTGGGCAGGTGTGTTGCCTTCAAAAGTAAGGCAGGGCAAAAAAAGAGGGGGAAAAAAAGAATTAGTGTTTCACAAGCACTTTGCTCTAGTGGCCATGGTACTTGTGAAAAAGTGCTGGGCCTTCAACATAATGGACAGGCCCTTTCATTGCCCTCCTTTGCCAGGAGGCCGTAGCAGTGCAGAGTGTTGGCACCATCCATCCATCCCACCCAAGCAGTCCAGGGGATGGAGATGCAGTGGCTCTAGGAAGCCATCAGCCCTGGTAGAGATGCAGAGTTGCTCCAGCTAAACAAGGTGTGGTTCTGAGCCTCTAACTACCTGGCCCAACTGCTTCTGCAGACCTGCTCCCTCCAGCAGGTTGTTGCAAGGCTGACATCAGCCAGCTTCCTACCCAGCTCTGAGCTGTGTGCGTGTGCAAGTGGGGTGTTTGTCTAGATTTACCAAGATTAAGGAGCATGGACTCACTGTCTGCACAAGCACATGAACATCCAGCCCCATCCGTCACTGTCCTGCTCAGCTGCCATTTGTTAGGGAAGTGCTCCAAGTACCCTAACCCAACTCTTGTAAATAAAGCAGCACTGAATGGGAACTATGAGGTACAGGCCAGAGATCCAGTGCAAGGACTAAATGGCTTCTTTATCTTCATGAGAACCCAAGCATGTTGTTTCACTGGGATGAACCAATCCCACTTTCCCTTGGTTCTGCCCCAACAGAGAACCATGCCCATAAACCAATTTAGAAAGTACCAGTTTTATTTCGATCAAAAATTGATAACAGTGAAAGATAAACCCAAGAGCAGTTACAAGTTAACCTAACATCCAAAGCAGCAGACAGTTACAAATAGGTTGCTTCCCAAGAGCTGAATGCCCAGAAATAGTCTTAAAGGGTTGTTTTGTTTTTTTTACCATTAGTTTCCCAGTACCCATTCCAGAGCCAGACCCTGGACAGGTGCGTGTTTGAACTTTATAAGCAGCCTTCTAAGAGTCTTGTCCTTGAAGGTATCCTTAGGCTACAGGCTCAAACCCTACCAGAATTCTCCTGCTCCCCATTAGATATGCACACAGGACTGGTAGTGTTTCCCCACCAGGCTAAAATCAGGTGCGTGCCAACTTGAGTCTGTACTGATAGAAAACTAGTGCAAGAGAAAGTTCAGGTCAGAAAGAGACCAGACAAAAAACCCCAATCTTTTAGTACAGATTCAAGATTTGGAGAGTCAATGTGGTTTTTAATATCTGGTCTTACCCAAGACAATATCCTATGCTACGCTTTGAGTTACCAAAATACATAAGAAGCCCATGTCCTTGGCTCTACCTTTCCATATAGTCAATAAAACCCATTCAGTAAGATCATATAGGAAGCGGTTAGCTATAGATCTAGTCTGAGTAGAACTAAGACCTCCTGGGAAGGCTGCTTATAGGACACACACATCCTATCCTCTACATGAGAAATTTGAAAGACAGGAGCTATTTACATGGTCCTTAAGAGCAACATCAAGGAAGCTCTGCATTCCCATACTGTCACATTGGCAGATTATATGTATGGAGGACACTCCACACAAAGCCATCCTCCTCAGGAGATCAGTTCAGAGCCTATAAAATCACAGCCAATGAACTAAACAGCAGGTTTTCCAAGAAATGGTTACTTCCTCTATACTAGCAGCTTCCAGCTTGTTTCTCTTACTCCTTAAAAGGAAAAAAGACTGATTTCAAAATTGAGGGCAAGTGATCTCAGCTCTACTCGTCAACCATAAGGGTTGTAAGCCAGCATTTTACCTGCTAGTCTTGTTTCCAACAACTCATAGCAGTTAAACTGATGGCCACTATGTTATGGGCATTCATGAAGCACTAAGTAACCCAGGGAGGTCCTGTGACCATTAGCTTGACTCCAGCTATAACTAATAAGCAAAAGTAAGATATTACTGCAATTCAGAACAAAAACATTGCACAGAGCAATAGATGCTAGACCAACCCCCTCTCCTTACACACAGTAAGGTTGCAGAAGATCCAGAAAAATTAACTCTAGCCTTTTTACTCTTAAAATCGTACATTTCACTGAAAAAATATAATATATAGCTCTATAGGACTGATTATAATATATTACAGGCTAAAAAAAGCTCATTTCCCCCCTATAAAACTTTAAATCATGTTAGAGAACCCGATTTTGCATACAGATTTATTCTAGCAGAAGTTATTGCCTTCAGTTCTTAATTAAAATTCACAGAATAAAGCTTAAATAGTTTTCACAGAGATTCATTATATTAGTGTTTTATATAAAGAAAAGGAAACAAAATTACCAAACCAAAAAACAAGAGCAGCCATGAGAAACTATAAATAATCCTATAAAAAGTCAAAAATCAAAAAAATTATTGATAAAACACATAAATATATCTTTAAAGTCTCCTACAGTAGCTGCTATAGGAACAAAAGAAACCTGTAACATACCATAGCCAATGCTGCTTCAATTTTGGAATATGGATTGTATAAAAACCCACGCACAGTATGTCTAGAGAAAATGCCCAGCCAAAAAAAAGAGGGGGGGGGGGGGGGGGGGGGCGGGGAAGAGAATGGAAAAAAAAAATAATCTTAGGAAGTTAAGAAAGCAGGGGGTTTATGTAAGCACACTTTCTACAAACTTATATAAACATTAAACTATTTTTCCTAGCAGTTTTATTACAAAAAAAAAAATCCTACGTTAAAAAAAAAACTTGGAGGAAGAGGGGATTGTCTCAGAGCTATGCAAAAAGACTTTCCTGATTCTTATGGATTAACAGCCCTGCCCAGGACAAAGGAAAAGGAAGCTTCCCCCTAGAACCCATATAGTCATTTCTCCCATGGATCCTTTATGGCATATAGGAACCCTGAGCCCAGAGGGCACAGAAGCCCCCTGATAAGGCAACATTATACTGTAGGGTAAAATTCATAAACAGGCATGTACCAAATGCCTGACATGAGTAGCCTGCTGCAGGACAAACCCTATTCCAGAAGGGTTTTGGAAAATCCTGCCTTCTACAAAAGGTGAATAGGAACACTGCACACCAGGTAGACACACAGTTTGCTTCCACACACAGCTTGATAATTCATACACCCATCACCCAAAAAAAGGGGGGGGGGAAAAAAAAAAGTTTGGCTTTTTTGTACTTTTTTCTTAATATGACAGTGTTTTTCAAGACTTGCTGCATCTCATTGGGCCCTTGTTAGTCAAGCAGGATGGGAAGGGGCACATAGAAAATTAAAGAAATCTCTGAAATTGCATCCAGAAAATCCATTTGTTCAATGCTTCTCATCTGAAGGCCAAATGCTTCAATATAGTCCATTTCTGTCCCCAGATGGGTAGGAGGTGCTGGTGAGCTTAAGCATAAAATTCATTTGTAGGGGCTTTCTTGTAGATTGGTTTCTTGCCCAGGTCATAGCTGCCCTCATCCTTTTTCTTCATGCGATAGACTAAAAGGAGGATTAAGAAGATGGCGAACAGCAGCCCTACTGCCCCACCTGCAATAAGAGCTGTAAAACAGAGCAGAGTGAGTCTTTAAATTCTCAGACCTGCCTCACTAGACAAAAAACAAAACAAAACCATACACAATTAATGAATTATTCCAGAATTGCTTCCAATGGAGCTGGTGTTTGAGGTGCCCCACCAGAAACATCTTGTTACTACTGCCATTCAGGCCTGGTAGCCTTTGTTGTTCAGAGGCAACAAGACATTTTCCATCCCAGACAGAAGGCAGGGCAAGGTGGCACCTTCTAGACCAAGTAATTCAGAAATGCAGAAGACAAGCGTCTTCTCAGATGCTGTGAATGGCCCTTCCATCACATTCAGGAATACTCAGAAGCTGGCTTAACATTAGCATCTCTTGCAACTAAAGCAAGTTTCTTTAACACTGAATGTCTTCAACTAAGGCAGAGACCAGTTGGTTCAGTTCTAGAGAACAGGATGGGAGAACTTTGATTCAATGGCACAAAAAGCTTTTTCTGGCTGTCATCTCACACTTCCAAATGAGGATCACATGCTCCAGGGAGATCACCACTTCTCTCTCTGTGCCAAATGCAATTTTTATGCTGACCCCCGCCACTGCAGCCAGGCATTGAGAAGAGCTGAAGAGCTGTGTGGCACATTGATGAAGACAACCCAAAAAGCTTGCATGACCCTGGCCATGTACAGAAGTTTCCAGTCCCCTAGAGCTGCCAGGCCAACGTCTTTCATCCCAACTAAGCCTGCTTCGAGAGTGACAGTTTTGCAGATGTGGTAATGGCGAGGGGTAGGCAGCAGCTTTGTTTTGTTGTAAAAAGAGCCAGTTAGCCTGCTGCTGTGAATCTAGGTACTAAAATCCTTCAGAGAAGGAGTCTGCCCTATGCTGGCATGGTGCCCATACAGAAGAAGCAAGTCATTGTGTTGTAAAGGGAGAACTACTGCAGTTCATTTACAAGGCTATCGAGTGACTGAAGCATATTGTGCCACTGATTTAAGGCTAAATGATCCTCTTAGATAATCACAGGCTGGGCATGAAGGAGAGCTGGAGCAGGCACAGCACTTCCACAGTTCCCCTTTATGAGACTGGAGGAGAGACTTGAACAATAGCCATCGAGCCTTTACCAAGCCATGTCCCATCCCCTATCCCTCAGGCCACCACACTTTCTAGGCAGGAGTTTCTACAGTGTTCACAGAACTGGAGGACTGGAAGGCATATAATGGTAGCCTTGTGCCCCATTGGCTCTGCACTAAAGTAGTCTTGTTCCCTTCTCCAAAGGGCCACACACACAATAGCATGGGTGGAGACACTCCCATGTTACAGCATGACGCTAACTGGGGAGGAGGGGAGGGGCAGTTACCTGCAAGGACTTCTGTTCTTTCAAAGATGCTGCTACTGCCTGTGCTGGCCATGGAGATCTTGTTGGACAGGTTCTCCTCCTGAAGAGGCACAACTCCCCCAGGAATGATCTCATTGTCTTGCATCGTGTTTTTGTTCATGTCCTTTGTCCTTTCCCCACTGTCTTCAGGGATATGGTTATCACTAGAGCTCTGAATAAAGCAGACAAGACACACCCTGTAGTAAGCACCTACTGAAAAGGTGTAATACAGGAGAGAAAAGAAGGGGCCAGATACCATTTTGTGGCACCCAGTGAATTCAGTGGTGTACATTGGAAATGCTTCCCTCATGTATGCTAGCGGACTGCATCCTCTGCAAGCCAGGTGCTAGCAAGGATGGGAATGGGAACAGGGGGTCAGAAGCCTGCAGTGACAGACAGGCCTTATGAAGGGAGACTACTGAACTAGATTTTTATGGAGGGAGGAAGAGTTTAAAAACAATACCCACCACAAGACTGACTGTGCTGGTTGAAGTCAGGACAAAGTCATCTGAAAAGAAAGAAAGCACAGCATTTAACCTTCTCTTAGGTCTCTACGTCTCCCAATATCCAGCATCCTGCCTGGCAGTGGTACAATCACAGCTGTGCCTTGGTTGCAGCTGTCTCTTATCTCAGAATGCTTTTACCAGTTGGAAGCTCTGATTGCCTCTTGTGGCTTTGCAATCTCATAACTAACTTGGTCTGGGGAGAAGTCCTCAGCAATGGCGAGTGGCTTTTGCTGCAGGTTAGCAGGAGTTGCTCCAGAAGCTAGTACACTGTGGCATGCTAGGCTGGCTTAAAAAAAAAAAAAAAAAGAGGGCAGAGCTCCCAAACACCCATCCCTAAAGGATAAATTGCATAGACACCAACCACCAGACCTGCCTGAACATGCAACAGGCTAATTTCAGAGCTTGCTCTCCTTTTGAGAATGTAGTGTGCATGTGAGAAGGACAACGTGCCAGCTGTTGGAACCTGTTTGCGCTACGAGAGTTGAATCGGGTCACCCATTTTAGAAGGCACACCTAGAGGATTCAAGTTTGGGGCTGTAAAAGGACAAAATGTAATGGAGATTAAATTTCAGAGCCCCTTGCTGTTAGATAAAGAAAGGGGATCCAAAGAATGGTACATTGCTCTCTCACCAATACTATCACACCACACATTGGAAAGATGATGCATTTGAATGCCCCAGTAGAGGCAAGACAGTACTATTCAAAAAACATGGCTTGGTGCCCTTCCACTGTTCCCCTTGGTGTTTCTTTGGTACCTAAGTGCACTATGTGCAAGGCACCTGGCCAAGCTTATTTAGAGCTGAATGACTTGCCAAGCTGGGGTCCACTAGGGCCAAAGAACAAATGCATGGAAGACCAAAGCATGAAGAGGTATTAGTCAATGGAAGTTATCTCCCCTTTAAGGTTCACACTCCGTTGCCTACACACCTTCATCACCAGACCCCGATGAATCATAGTCATCATCAATGGTGCTTTCAGAACTGCTGCGACCAACATCTTCATCATCTGGCAACGCGCCTGAGGAGTAATCTTCTTCTAGCAGCTGTGGATCCATGGTCATGGTTTCCCTTACCTGAGAAGAAAGAAGCAACATTCAAGTCCTTTGGCAGAGGCCAGAAAGTTACATTAAAAATTAGTTCTCAGGCCGAGAGCAGCATCTGTAGCCAGGCCAGCTGAGCCAACACAGCGTAACGTAACCTTTGGGCGAGGAAAGAGGACAGTCTTTCCTGGCTTGGAGTGAGCTAAAATCCCCATGTCTAAAGAGGAAGAGCACCAGCCTGAGTGGGGATTTCCTGAAGGGCTTCAGCAAGTTCATGGAGTGACAGGTTTTGCAATACATCTTAAGCAAAAGTCTGTGACAGGATGCTTTAATGTGTGTGTGTGGGGCGGGGAGCAGCAGCTGCAGTTTACAGTATATTGGAGAACCTTTCCCAAACCTACGTCAGGTGCTGAATCAGGTGCCCCTGCCTCCCCAACTAAACTGGAACCTCCAGATCCAGGTGGTTTATCATCATTCATTTCACTTAATTCAGATACTTTATCATACAAGGGTTAAAGAGTGGACAGATAAAGTCTCCAGACTGAAAAGCAAAATTGTCAGACAGATAGGCAGGATCAAAGCACCACATATAGAACAGCAGCTTGCTTGCGAAGGGTCCCCTCCAGAACACATCAGATTCTCAAAGCAAACAGCTCAAGAGGTAGCTACTAAGAGAGACCTAGAGACCTGAGGGGTCTGGCCTGCCAGGCTAGAGACTGGTGCATTAACACAGCAGCAGCACAGATTGGCTCTCTGTAGTCAGTTGGGGTTGGCTCTCATAATGCCTGCAGACTAGCTAATCTCAAACCCTGCGATAACTCTTTTCCACTCAGGCCTTTGAAGAATCAGCAACCTAAATCTTCTGCAGTCCCCAAGAGTATGTAACAACCGACTCCTCCAACGCAGTTCTCAGCAGTTATGACAACCGAGGGGCTGGGCCAGGCTACAATTCCCTGGCTCTGACATCACAGCACGTCCAAGCACAAAGAACATAGCTCTGGCTGTGGCACTCCAGCTGCACCAGCTGCTCACAGTTCCACAGCTAGCAAGTCATTTGCTCCTCAGGGGATTTAACCTTTTCCCTAGGGCTGGGAGCACTATGCAACCACAGGCCATCTCACTAGCCTTTGCTGTATTGGCTGGCACAGATATTCCATTCTCCAGAAGGGCCCCATCGTCACATTAGGTACCTGAAGTTCATGCTAAACTGGTGCGGCACCACCACTAAGCTCTACAGTCTGGAAGCAAGATGTTTCTCCTAGTAGTTGCAGCACACTCTGGGGGGCTTTCAGGCAGGCAGCTTTAGCTCCCTTGAGAATGAAGAGGAACTGGGAAACATGCAACTGAGCAGCTTGAAGAGCTAGCAGTACACTCTTGTGCTGATAGATCATTTCCAACTGTGCCCTCAAAAGACAACTAGGAAGAGATGCAGCTTGTACCATCCCCTACTGTGGAAAATGATTAATTCCAGTTCACCACAAGGCCAGTACTTGGCAGCCCCAACACAAGAGGATGGGGCACCTTTCATCATCCCCTGGAACAAAGCATTCAGGTCATGCAATGCATCGAGGAGGTCATCACTACACAACGGATACTAGCAGGTGGCACATATGTGACTCAGCACTGCTACTCACTGCTGAATCACAGGACTGTCTGTCCAGCTAACAAGGGAGGAGGAAGGCAGAGACCTGGCTCAGTGAGTGACTGCAGCAACTGGGTGGCAGGCTTTATCAGGTCAGATTAGGGGTGAGTAAGACCATAGCCTGTCTCCCGCGATTGGCAGGTACTCTGGACTATGCCAGGGTCCATTATCAGAAGAGTCCATCTACTAGAACAGTGTTTACTGAAACAGTGAGCGAGAAATTCAAGGAAGTTCCTGACTCACAAAGCATACTCAAGTGTCTCACTTGATAGAATGAGTGAAAAGTGACTAGTTCCCCAGCCCTTCAGAGAAACATCCTGGTAAACCCAGCAGGTAAGTCTGGTGGGGGAAGGGGAGGGGGGGGGGGGGGGGGTGCAGGCACTGGGCATCTCACTCAGCACTCGCACAAACAACTAATTCCATGTTTCTAGCCAAGTCTGTCCAGCAGTAAAGGGCCCAGCTCTTCCTGGGAGCCAGAGGCAAGCCATACCTTGCAGAGCAGCACCCAGGAAGTTTGAGGGTGGGTCTAGACCAGCGACACTTGTCACTGGCAGGGCACAGAATCCCTGGGGCAGTGCAGGCACCAGGGAAGCATAGTATCATGCAGAGAGCTGCCTGTTTACAGCAGCATTCAAGAGACGCTGCACTCCTGAATCCAAGGGCCAGGCTCAGGCATGCAGGGACCTCCCCGCCCTCCCCAAGGGGCATGCAACCAACAGGCTGCATCTCTAACCCCTTTTCAACAGGACCTGGCTGCTGCCAAGGCCTGTGACCACATTCAACTTAACACCTTCAGTGGTCACCAGCTGGAGCACAGCATCTGAACTCCTGCAGCCCATGCTGCCACCTGTTATTACAGTGCTGGAGCAGGGCCAGGGCCAAGTCCAGCGACTCATGATGGCAGAGTCGGACGAAGCGGCTGCATGGCCCCACCTCACTCAGGCAGCCAAGGCCAAGCCCTGCTATTAATACACTCCAGCTCCTAGAAGCTTTGGACTGCAGAAACCCAGTTCCACCCTTAAGCAGATTTCACCCACAGTAAATGCCAAGGGAGATTAGCAACCCTGAAAGGGAGGGAGGGGAATGGAAGAGCAGGAGCTTTTCCTGCCTAGCAGTCACTAAGAGGTTTAATTCTTAGCCACCAGTTTGCCTGTGTGCAGGAGCACATGCACTCTGTGCCATTCGCGCCAAGCACTGTGTCCAGAGAGTCTGCCCAAGGGACAGCCAGTGCCCAGCCCCTGCGATGATCAGTGCTCCAGAGGTGCCAAGATACACAGAAGGCAGCTCTGACTGCACAACTGTTATTGTAGAAGAAGGAGACTAATGCCCACGGAGCCAACAGGGCTGCAGGCCTTTGTCCCCCCAGTGGAGGGGTTGGATTTCACAGTGCCCTTGGCTCTATTTCGCATTCCCGCAGCTGACTCACCCACTAGTGCTCTGTTTAGTTTGCACAGAGCAGCGAGCCAGGTTCCTGTCCGACATGTGACTTTCCATAGCCACTGTCTCGTTCTGGGAAGTGAGAGCGAGAGGGCTCTTAACCAAGAGTGCTTGCCTCCTCCACATCACCCCAGCCAACACACCCTTTTGCAGAAGTGACCAAGTAACATTCTCTAGAGCAAAAGCACAATTTTCCAGACACAAGCTGCATGCGATCAGCTTTCACAACAGCCATTGTCTGAGCAGACACACCAATGTTTGAATTCAACCAATGTTTCTTTGAAGGCTGGCAGAAAGTCAAGCTGGGGCGGGTGGTGGGGGGTTCACACCCATGGTCTCGGGCATCCAAGCTGTGCACAGTTTGTCTGGCTGGCCGAAAACCTTCCAATAGAGGCCTCTAAAGCTCACTTCTGCCTTTCAGCCTTCCAGCACTGTGTACACACACCAAGGAGTAAACAGCACTAAGGTGAAAGTCAATGTTTCACAGACAAAAGAACATGGAGCTTTGCCAGGTGGGAAAGCTAGTAACGTCAGGTTAACTGTTTATATACCCTGCAAAGCCAGGAATTGATCTTGGCCATAAGTTTACTAGTAGTAATTATTCAGGTCATGGCGCTTTCAGCACTTAACACTAGAAGGTTGAGACTGGACTGGTCTCATGCCCTCCCCTCTCCCCTGCCCCCAACCCCCAAATTTGGTGGAACTACAGCTTTTCTGAGAGTCAGTAAAGAAAAATCCTGCAGGAATGGTGAGAGGTATTAGGAGCCCCCAGGTTCATTATGGAGATTTACAGTCATCATTCAGAATACGCAGACCAAGGGGCCCTCTACACCTTTCTAAACTGTGCCACACTAGAATAGTTATGGACTAGCCTGCCTGTGAGAAATTTCTTCTTAATCCTTACCTGTGGGGTTGGCTCATGTTCTAGAGGCCTTCAGCAGCACGCGTACTTGTGGATTTAGGAACAAGCAACTGTTACGAGCTGTGGCTAACAGAGGCATCGCAACATAGCTAACTTAACTTTGCCTTCTGCCAAGTGCCGATTCTTGGCTTTGTTACAGAGCCTAACCAGGGACATTTGGAAAGGAGTTGTGTGCATCATTTATCTCAGATGACATCAGGACATGCCTCCATCCTCCTCCTCCCAGATGTACGTTTATAGTGTCACATGCAGCAGATGCTGGCTAATGACAAAGTCACATGCCAGGAGTCACATTATAATGCACATCTAGACCTCAGGTTGAAGGCTGGAGAGGATTTATGCACTGTGAGCTCCAGCCAATGCTCCAGAAACCTGCATTCACAAAATGGCTACATAAAAAGCCACCATAACTGGCATCAGCTGCCCCCCCTCCCTTTTATTTTTTGCTGTAGCAGCCAAGATGCCAACTACTATGAAGACTTAACTCTGCCAACGCAACATGTGATTTAGCCAGAGTGGGGGCGCACACGCACTCTCCTTCCATTAATGCTGCCTGGAGATTCTAGTCAGTGGGGCCGTCATGCTGGCTCAAGCATGGAGTTCAATTAAAGACTGCATTTCTACCCCCAGGCCAGAGAGTCAGGCAGCTTGGGGCTCTAATACCAGAAGATCCCAGAGACCAAGCTATTGCTTAAATTTTTTGGTCACAGCTTGAACAAATCCCATTGCAGGACATGGCTGCAGTTCCAGTAAAGCAGGCTGAAGTTCAACAAGCCAAGCATAAAAAAAGCCACTGGCAATCTGTTCCAAGGGAAACACTATGGCCAGCTGTTGTTGGTCATCTGCCGCCTCCTCCTAGTGAGAAAGAGACATTGGTTCTAGAGATAAGCGAGGCCAGGGCCCTAGAAGGAATTTCTAGTCCTTTGTTCCAATTTGCTTGCATGGCCTCAGACACCATCCTTTAAAATTCACAAGTACTCAGGACCTTCCAGAGATCCAGGATAAGATTACAGGGATTCAGCAGGACATGAT